AATAGAGTGAAGAAAGCCAGGTTCTAGTTGCAGCTCTGGCCTATCGGGGTGGGCTCATTTGGGTAAGTCAACCACTGAACCCAGCCTCCTCTGGAAAGCTGATCACATTGGCCTACATTTGTTCTTTCCCAACTCAAAGATTTCACTGGCGCTCTTGATCTGAGGGAACCCTCTATCTAGTGGAGGAGACACAGTGTCCACACTAAAGTTAGGGAAGTGATGAACAGAGAAAAAAATTACTTTTTTCACAGAGTAGTGAGCAAGTTCCATTGGAAATGGTATATACTAAAGGGCAGTAAGTGTAGAGAAGTGAAGTTGTAGAAGTTCAGTTATGGCTAATTCATGGAAGAAGCCGCTCCTAACCCACTCACCTCACCTCTGGAAAAGATCAGAGGTGCAGGAGGTGTTTGATCCTGGTTCGGGAGAATGCTGTTCTCCACCTTTTGCATATGAGCAGCAGGAATGTGAGACATTTCTGTCCCTCCCAGGAAAACAACCAGGGTATGTGTGTTCCTTTGAGTGGGATCTATACCGAATCTAAGAGATGCTGTAACTAGATGTAACCATAACCACTGGAATAAATCAAGAAGAGGGTGGTGAGAGAAATTTCAGCTCCCAGACTAACAGCCTTCGCTGGCCGCCTTGGCTGCTCACAGGTATCAGAGGGAATACAGTGAATTTAAACGCCAACAGCTGGAACTGGATGATGAGCTGAAGAGTGTAGAAAACCAGATGCGTTATGCCCAGATGCAGCTGGACAAGCTAAAGAAAACCAACGTCTTTAATGCGACCTTCCACATCTGGTAATGAGGGCTGGAGGGTGAGGAACATCTGGGAAGAACCACATATCTGGACCGTAGCTGCTAACTACTAAGCTGGGCTGCCCACCTCCCACAAAATAGGACTGTATGTCATTTTCAGTCCACTCTTTCATTCCCTGTGATGGTCTAGGCACAATTAGGGGGTTGGAGCTTTATGACTTCCACTCCTCCAGGGAAAGGGAGAGATCTGAGCCCTCCAGCCATTTTAAAACTTGGTCATCTGCCTAGTGCTGATTTCTTACTCCTAGAGTCATTCATGTGTTAATTTACTTGACACTTTATCCATTTAGCATATTTGTTGAGCATCTACTATGTCATATAGACACTGTGCTAGGCACTAGGAAGGCAACAGAAAACACTATGCATACTACCTTCTAATTGCTTATAATCTCATAGAAGAGATGGATAACTAATAGGCAGTTGTAGTGCAGTGTGATAATGATAAACCTAGGGTGTTAGAGGAACACATACGGCACTTTGCCCAATTTGGGAAGGCTGCAGGGAAGTTCTTCCCAGAGGAGGTTGATGTTTAAGCTGAGACATGAAGTAGAAGTCTGCAGGGGAGGGGAGTTGTTCCTGGCAAAGAGAACATCATGTGCAAAGAAACAGAGGAAGGTGGGAGTGGTGAATTCATAGAACTGAAAGGAGCTTATTGTGACTGAGTGCAAAGGGCACAGGGACAGGATATGAAACTAGAGAGTTACCAGTTCCTAAGGGATCTTGGAGGCTTCATTAAGGGATTTGGATTTTACATAAATGGCAGTGGAACCTATTTTAGGCAGGGAAGTGACATAATTACATTTGCATCTGTGAATGATAGCTTTACCTGCAATGTATGGAAATGACTCAGGGTGGTATTGTTGATAAGGAGATGTATCAGCAGGACTCTAACCAGGAAAAGATAGAAGAGTGGCATTGAGTTTGGAGAGAAGTGGGCAGATTATAGAGTGTAGGAGGTAGGCTCAGCAGATCTTGGTGGTTCTTGAGAGGGCCTTCAAGGATGATGCCCAGGTTTCTGCTCTGGCATCTGAGCAGCATGGGGGTAACATGATCATTAGTGGTTTGGACACATTCAGAGTGCCAAGTAAAGCCTGGATATTTGAAACTGGAGATAAGGAGAGAGATTTATGCTACGTTTTAGGTGATAACAGGAAGTCTTAGAACTTGATAACTTTTAAGTTTTCCCTGTATTTTCCCTTGCCCTTCTGCCTTCCTCAACAGGCATAGTGGACAATTTGGTACAATCAATAACTTCAGATTGGGTCGCCTGCCCAGCGTTCCTGTGGAATGGAATGAAATTAATGCAGCCTGGGGCCAAACGGTGTTGCTGCTCCATGCTCTGGCCAATAAGATGGGTCTGAAATTTCAGAGGTAAGAAATGCAGCTCTTTCTTGGGGTGTGGTGTGTCCTTGATTTAGTCAATATCCCCAGCCAGTACTCTTCTCTACTGTGGCAAGAGCCCTTGCTCCCAACAGACTGGGAGTTTTCTGTCTGTGGAGACTGTCTACTTCTGGTTTTCCCTTTACCACAGGCCTCTTTCCATTGACTGAGCAGTCCTTGAGCTGCACGACCATAGCAGTAGTCCCCAGTGCGCAGTCTTCAGAACCTTAGTATTCTTCAAGCCATTTTCAGTTTTGGTTTTTAAAATCTAAACCGAAATATGCATTCATTCAGAAAGGATTTGCAGACAGTTGTACAGTAACTGTAGTTTGTTGGGTAAACAAAATCTTTTAAACATGAAGCCTATGGGGAGGTGAGAGAGGGGGTAGGAATAATAAAAGAAGTCCTTCTGTAGGATGAAGCCTGAACATTACTGGGATAGAACATCTCAGTAATCACTTGAGGAGTCCTGCATCCATCACCGTGTGCATCTTCGTTTTAGGTACCGACTTGTTCCCTATGGAAACCATTCATATCTGGAGTCTCTGACAGACAAATCTAAGGTACTCTGGGAATCTCCACATTTTCACTGGAATACAGAATTGTTATACCTCTTAATGAAATGGTTTATTTTTGATAATAGCATTATTCAGTTTCTTTCTTAGATACCTCATGAAGAGCCAATGTTTTGTTCAGTGTCTTGTCTAGTTGAGAATTAGCATTTAAGGGCCTGTAGAAAAAGGTTGAGAAGGGATATGGGCAGATCAGAGGAGAATGTGTGCACTAGGGCAGGGGAGGAGTCACTGAGGTAGATGCTTGCCACATTTCCACTGCTGGTGAGACAGCTCTAGGTGCATTGTTATTTGCCCAAGATTACTATTTCCAGTTGATAGAAGGTGACTTGAGAGAGTGACAGGATTGGGAACAATCTCTGGTAGCCTGTCTTGTTGGTACACCCATAGCCAGTTCTCTCTTCTTGGGCAGGAGCTGCCGTTATACTGTTCTGGGGGGTTGCGATTTTTCTGGGACAACAAGTTTGACCACGCAATGGTGGCTTTCCTGGACTGTGTGCAGCAGTTCAAAGAAGAGGTTGAAAAAGGCGAGACACGTTTTTGTCTTCCTTACAGGTCAGTATTCCCTAATGCTCAATGAGTAGGACCAAACTGAGCAGAATTGAAGGGGTAGAATAAAGGCAAAATATAGCATAAATGAGGGAAAGCAGAAAATTGTACAAAAATCACATGACACTGGTGGGCAAAGACTGGTCCAAAACTGCAAGCAGGACAGAAGTGACTACCTGGTCCCTGGAGAAAAAGAATGTTGTCCCAGATGGTTTGGGGGACTTTCTTGGCACAGAGCTCAAGCCTGCTGTCCAATTTCAAGAAGGTTTTTCCCTTAAGCCCTTGGAAATACACAGGAATGCTTCCTTTGATCAAATTTTGTGATGGATGGAGACCTAAGCTCAAGAGAGTAAGGCTCAGTTGCTTCCAACACCCCAAAAACAAAGTTTCTTTTCTTTTGCCTCCCTTCTCTCCCCATGAGTTCAGAGATGCCTAGGAATACTGTAACCCCACTACCCTAGGCTCCAGGCTTCTCATCTGTTTGGGTGTGTGTCCTGTCCCTGCACTCTGCAGTGACAATGAGGCTCTTGTGACAACCTTCTTGATTTTTGGCTTTCAAGCAAATCCAAAATACACAACCGTTCCTCGCCAAGAGTCCTTTAATAGATAAAATGACGTGAATAGTCTCATGATCAAGTCCTTGCCCGTTTGCCTGAACTGACTTAACTCAGATCTCAGTTACTAATGAGCTCTGCTTTGTCCATCTGCAGGATGGATGTGGAGAAAGGCAAGATTGAAGACACTGGAGGCAGTGGCGGCTCCTATTCCATCAAAACCCAGTTTAACTCTGAGGAACAGTGGACAAAAGCTCTCAAGTTCATGCTGACGAATCTCAAGTGGGGTCTTGCTTGGGTATCCTCACAGTTTTACAACAAATGACTTCATTTTTTTCCTTAGGGTGGATGCTTGCCTTAAAGGCTTTAAATTTTGTTTTTTTTTTGCAAATAAATGTTTTAAACTAACTTCGGGTACTATTAAACAGAACGTTTACAATACCAAAAAAGAAAAAAATCCACAAAGACACTTTATTTTAAAATATCATACAGCAGATAGTGTCCAGAGCCATAACATGCCATGTATATCTGCCAGCCTTTGTCATGGTTTTGACACTTAACCCCATGCCTTTCTTTCCCTCTCTCCCCTCAGAACAACTAATTTAAGTTTGCTTTTGTTTGTTTTTTTAAAACTGAGTTAAATTGAGATCAATGTGTTTTCACTGGATTTTATATCTCTCAACTTCCTGCACTTACAATATGAAATGGAAACTTTTCTTTCTACTGAGATGACGAGGTGTGTGAGAGGCCCAGTTGGATTACATGAGAAAATGACACAAGCTTTGGTCACCATGTGATATGTGATCAGAAGCTTGAAACTTAACACTTCTCCTCACTCAGTCCTAGTACTGAATGCCTACTCTGCTCTGTGTTAGAGATATGAGTGTTTGAGACATTATGGAGAGATTTAATTATTTGTAATAAAAGATTTACTGCAGTCTGATAACTGCCTAGAGGTGCACTGGTGGGTTTTTCTTTAACTAAAATAGAGTACTTTGTATTCTGGAAGAATTGAGTTCAAGTGCAGGTATGTGGAAATTCTACTGAAATATGTTTAGTGTTAGTTTTAAAAAAAGACTGTAGTGGAAATAGAGAACTATAGAGGAAGCCCTATTTGTGTGGAGTTCAATAACAACAGAGAAGTTAAACTAACTTCAAGGGGAAAAAAGGCTGCCTCCTTGCTCAGTCAGGGTCACCCAGATGGTCTGGTTTTTGGCCCTGTTTAATACTAATCTCCATGCCTGATGTTTTCTGTTAATGAAATTAACAATTAAAAGCCATACATATCTTGTTGAACAGAAATGAACCAACTTCACTAATACTCTGTCTCCTCTCCATTCTCTGACATTTTCCATCTAATGTGACAAGAAGGACAGGCTTGTCCACTTTAACCCTTTCTCTGAAGGAGAAAAATAAGCATGAAATTGCAGTATAAAACGTGGTTCAAAAGATGCTTGGAACTTTTGTACCCTGAGTATGAAAGTAAACAAAGGGAGGAAGGAGTGCAGTGATGGAAGGCTGTTTACATTTGGCGGATTCCCACTGCCTCATGTGGTGGAGGCAGCAGCAGCCCTCAGAGCTCTGGCTGCCAGGTGGGGAGGGTCAGGCTGCTGTCGCCCGGGAGTGTTGGCTCCCACGCTGTGAGTCAGGATTGCATAAGAGAACTGAGCGATGCTCTCCAAGGAGATGCCAGTGATGGCCTGCAAATGCCCTACAACCTTCAGAAACAGAGACAGATTTCTTAGTACTAAATAATAACATGTTTTCATGCACAGACATTGCTTGGGCTGTTCTCTCTAGCCAAATGTAATTTTTTCGTTTCTTCGAATTTACAGAGAAGATTAATTCCAGATCCCAGTGTTTGCCAGTGGCCAAATTACATTAGGATACCTTTGCCCTGATACGTTAGCATGGAAAGTTTCTGCTAGACATTTCACTCTCCTGAAGGTATATTTTCTGGAAGATGAGAGAGGTAGTTGGACCTTGACATTTTCTCTAGTTGGGAAGATCCACTTACTGGGCTTTAACATAATAGCAGATCATCATCAGAAAGGGAAGAGAACAAGCCGAACTAACTTGGGCCTCCATTTCCAATTTCATAAGAGGAAAACTGAAGAACACTTCAGTCCTACTCTAGTTTTTCCTCCCCCAAATCCTGCTCATTCATCCTAATCCTGGGTCTTGGCACTTTTCTTTTGTAGGCTGTCTTCTGTTTTCCTTTAACTGTTGGGAGAATGCTTTCTATTAAAGAATTCTGACCATACTGGTCCGGCCCAGTAGTGCATACCTGGCCCCAACACTCATGGTTTTGGATGAAAGCACTTGCTGCAATAATTCCTACTGCCAGCAGCATGAAGTCTTCCTTCACTGAAACAAACTTCTCTCTGAGTGATTAAAACCATATTAATTTTGGAGCTAGAATGAAACTTGAATCTTCAAATCCTAGGGTCATGGAACTTCAACTATGAGTTGTTATGTTGGTCATCTTGGAATTTTTAGATATGGTAAGAAATGGTCAAGTAATAGCTAATTGGCCCCCTCTCCCAACCTTCCCCAACTCAACTGGGGTTAAAACGTGGCCTCCCATCTGAATGGTTTATAGGCCTATTGTTCCATCTGTCTCCCAAACAAATGGAACTGTGAGGCTTTTTACCAGTCTGCTTTACAGTAATCAAACACTTTTGTCCAATTTGCAACCCTGTGACTGGCTTTTTTTCCTAAATGAGTATAAAAGTGGTCCAATAATCTCAAATTATAAGCAGCTATAAAGGAAGAGCTAGAAAAGAAAATGCCATTTAAATTTAAAAGTAAAAGTCTTAAGTGTTTTGCTGATTGGGCTCAGTCATGTGCATCCGAGCAACATACTGGTAATTAATTAGAACCTGTGCATGTTACCTGTGGACAGTATGCCTTGCTAGTCCTATTCCCTGAGTTCTTCTGGTGTGTCCCTAACCCCCTGTCTCTGGAAGAAGCGTACCCTAGAGGAGTTGCCTTACCCTTGCAGCTGACTGGGTGTGGAGTTCTCAATTGAAGCCCTCAGCAGGCTCTCGTATATGGGTTCATGCAGAAGATAGACTAGGTCGAGCAAGGTCAGGCAGGTTGCATGCAGCTGTGTGGCTGGGACCAAACAGCCATTGTATCCTAGATGGAGTATGAACATGGTACAAGCATTACATAGGTCTTCTCTGATCATGGTTACAGTTGTTATGTGATATAAAGCTGTTGAACTGCTAATGTTTTCCTGGTTGCTATGTTCTACTGTAAGAAACCACTTTAGCAGGAGGTCAGTTTTCAAGGGCAAAGGGAGAGAGAGAAACCTCCATCTACAGTATATATATAATTAAAGTATATTTGTTCCCCTCTTATCTCATGCCTCTCTATAAAACCAACTCTGACCCCACAGTAAAAGAGTGCCTAGTGAGTCCAAATAGGAGCCAGGTGCTGAGCTCTGAGTTTCTTACCCTGACAAGAACTAGAAGGAACACTCCTCAGTCATCCCAGGCTGCCAGCTCTTCCTCATTGGTGGGTTCTGCCCACTGCCGCCAAACCCTGGGCACATCCTTATTGCCTTCTATGGAACACTCCAACCCACTTTCCCTGACACACTTAGTAAAGTACCTAAAACCTCTAGGAGCATCTCCACGTATGCCAGAGGAGTAGGCAGGTTGATTTGGAAGTTCAGAGACTTCAGAACATCAAGCTCTGACTCCAGCAGTTCTTCTTTAGTGTGTAGATACCCTAGAGCCTGGAGGAAATTCAGGACAGTAATGTTGCTGATTATCTGAGCAAAGAAAAACAGGAAGAGTGAGAGGGGTGTCAGAATCAAGGTCTTACATCTTGGCATAGTATACAAAGCCTTTCAAAATCCAGCCCATGCCTTCATCTCATCTCCTCTTTTGGTAATTCCTCCTTCCACCCTATACATGTGTAGAATTACTTGCAGATCTCAAACCCACCACGCTCTCAAAGCCTCTATATGTGCTGTTTCCTGTGTGTGGATCTCTCTTTGCTCCTCCTCTTCTCTCCCTGTTTTCCGTAACTCCTCTCCCTCTTCCCTTAGGATCCACCCATCTCCTACCCACTCCACCCCCGCTTCAAGGAGTCATTTTCTGTAAATATACTTCCTTAACTCTCCAATGCTAGAGGTACATTCACTGCCCACTGCATTTATACATCAGAACACTTTCCACATTATTTGCCTGTTTTTTCCCATTGGATAATAAATTCCTTGGGAGCATGGACAGTATTTTTACTGTTGGAGCCATGGCATCTAGTGCAGCTTCTGGCCATTGAGGACAATCAATATATAATCAGTATTTGTTGGATGAATGATATTTTACTCTACAGGCATTGCGTAGTAATGTGGAAACCTTTTATCCTTTATAACTATAATAGTTTGCCTTTAATACTGATATGTTGACAGTTGGGCACCTTATATAAACTGTCCTTGAGTCCAAGGGGAGGAAAGGTGACCTGTATGAATGATGGCATCTGTCCAGCAGTTACACTTTGGGAACAGCACTTCAGGCTATTTAATAACTGCCTCTGTGTGACTCGTGTGTGGGGCGGGTGAAGGGGTGGAGGTATGCTTAGGGAGCCTAATTGCACTCTGGAATTTCCACATGAGTAGTATCACCTAGTCTAGGAGTACGTTTTCTCAGTCACCTTCAGCTGAGCTGGTTTCTTTCTAACATCAGGTGCCCATGAGCAACCCCTTACTTTGTAGTGGAAAGACAGTTTGCTTGCCAGCTGAACACATGACACAAGACGCAGGATAAACTTGTTGAAAAGCTGCTCTTTCAGAGCCCTCCAAGTCTGAGACTCTGTCTTATCTCTCAGCTGGATTGTGGCTTGTCTGCAGATACTCTCTGCCTGCTTAATCATAAACCTATAAAGAAGGGAAGGGGAGAGTAAACAATCCACACTCACTCAAACTAGAGGGAGTTTGTACTTTAAACTATACTACATCTTATCCTCTCCAATATCAATTGCTGGCTAAGAAATTTACATTTGCAAATAATAGAGGGTGTAAAAACCAGGTCTCATGGTAACAGGCAGCTAGTACTTTAAAAGACTTGGGTACATTAGTCATTCTGAGAGGTACCACTCACAATGGCCTTATGCTCAGGACTTTACCTTTCTAGGATTTCTACAGCCTGGTAACTCACAGATTTCTCCAGACACCATTGTTCAGAGAGGAGAAAAACAAACTCTGCCAAAACAGGAAAGAAGAGCCTAATTCACAAGGTGCAACCAAAGCACTCTGAACTCTTGGCATTGTTTAAAAGCCGCGATGGGGCCAAGGGAAGAGGGTCAGGAGGTGAGAAAGATGAGACTGAAACAACCCAGGCTGAGCTTAGTTCCCTTTGCTGCCAATAGGCAGATCAGAGGCATGGAAAGGAGACTGAGTGAGTGCCAAAAACATGGGCTTACCAAGCCCCCTTCATGACCCTTGAGCTTTCCTGCGGGTCTCAGCTGATAAAAGGCATGGCCAGCTACACACAAATATACCAGCTGATCTAGTCGGCCTCTACACCATGCTGGGAACCCCCAGGTTCAAGGGAGATTCTCGGATGTATAAAAACCCCAATCCCTATATTCTATTTTCAGTGGAATGTTGACAGGAACAGATAGGTCCCTCCTGTAGCTCCGATATTCTTCATGACACTGTTTGTTTAGTGACCACCCTCTGGAGAACTCCCATTGCTTTACAAACACATTCACCTTACAGCTGGATATCATCTCTCCACCAGTTTGTTGGGTAAATTTGTGGTGGCTGAGCCTCTCCCCAAGAGCAAGTCTGTTACTGTGGAGTTGCTTGTTTTTAAGAAACATCCCTTAAATCAGGGAACATAACCTGATCTGGCAGTGGGGAGCGGTGGGGGGTAGGGGATAGGGAGTCACTGGGAAGGTGGAAAGGGCAAGATACCTTGGCAAGATTTTAGGCCACCTGTTTCTCTTTGAAAGAACAGCCCCAGATAGAATTCTATTTCATTTGCATTATCATTACAGGATGGAAACAGGCAAATGTTAGTTCTTAACAAAGAAAGCTCCTGCAGAATTAGGGGCTTTTAGCACTATCAGTAAAAAATTACACATAGTCAAATCACCATATATGTCCTCAGAGAAAATGTGATTTTAGGGGAAAAAACTGTTAAAAAGGTCAAGCTAGCACAAGACAGTTTAACAATCTATTCAACACTAGTTACACATAGACAAATGTACAATACCTTATTGTTACAGAAACTAAAGCTCTGCTAGCAGTGTCCAATGCAGAATTAGTTTAGGGAATTAAGCAAAATACCCTAGGAACACATAATTGTGTGTAATTAGTCAGTCCTTTTATCTGCTGGAATTTAGGCTTTATTTCTTTGTTGTGTGTGTGTGTGTGTATGTAGTTGTTTGGCTTTGTTTTGGTTTTGGTCTGCATTATCTGGGCGATTGTTTCTATTTTCCATTTTATTTTGCCAAGAAAACTGAACTGGGGTTAGGTGGAATGGATGAGGGTTACACCTCCATGCCGGCTCTACCTTCTACACTTACATATTCAAATCTAGCATTAACTAAAAGACCCTCCCCTTCTAGCCTCTTAAGCTCTCTCTCTCTCTCTCTCTCTCTCTCTCTCTCTCTCTCTTAGTTTCTGTCGCTGTTAAATTCCTTAAAAGCTTAGCTTAAACCTACTGCTTCCACTTCATCATTCACTCCCTAATGTTCTGCAGTTTGGCTTCTACTTTTCTCAACTTGCTGAAATGATTATTTCAAAAGCTAGCAAACATGTTCAGATTGTTAAATGTCAATAAATAAGTGGCTGTTTTGCAATCCTCATTCCTGTTGTTCATATCCCTGAAGCATTTGAAACGCTGACCATCATCCTTCTTGAAACTCTCCTCCTGGCTTCCAAAGATTTCTTGGTTCTCTGTTCCTGTCTTCCCAGCCAACCTTTTATTTCCTTCATGACTCTTCTTCCTACTCCAATTCTTTGAACATAAAATGTTGCCCAATGAACTGTCCTTGACCAGCTTCTCCTTTCTCTCTCTAGGAGCTCCCAGCCACAGTTTCAATAGTATTATTATGAAGGTAACTCCTTTACCTTTACCTCTAGTTCCCACCTCTCTTTTTAAACAGCTCATTAGAAACTTTCCCCCTAGGTGTTCTATAAGCACCTGAAACTCAGTAGATCCAAAACCAAAGTTGTCTTTCCCAAACAAAAGTCACGGTTCCTCTTATGTTGTTTAACGTATGTGTGTTTCTCTTAATGGCACCACTATACTCCCAGTCTCCTAGGCTCAGCCTTTTGGCACAATCATCTTTGCCTTCTTCACCTCTTAAAGTCATCTATTTCAGAACCCTAGATTTTACCTCTGAAATGTTTTTAATCCATTCTCCCCTGTCATTTCCTCTGCCCTATCACCTAAACTACTGACCCAGACTCCACTGGTCTACCTACCTCCCATCTTTCTCTACTCCAATCCATCCTTTATATCTAGGCAAGGTTACAGTCATATCACTCCCATGTTTAAAAACCTTCAGTGCCTTCTTGTTTTCCTATGAAGCCAAGTATAAATTCTTCCCCTAGGCATTCAAAAGTTAAACATAGAATGGCTCCAAACTACCTTTCTAGTCTTAATTTCAACTACTCTTCCACATGCTCTGGACAACCTGGACTGCATTGTACCCACACTCACCCTAAGTGTCCCTATTTCCATAGCTTTACTCATCCATCCCATTTTGGTAGAAACACTGCCTCCCTCCTTTACCTTCACCTATCAAAATGTCATCCTTCCTTCAAGGTCTACCTCAAAAGCCACCATGACTGGAGGACTGCCTTAATTCTTCTTCCATCTGCCTCACCCCATCAGTCTTTTCAATTCCCATAAAAGCTTGTTTTTTCAGGTATGTCACTTATTTACCATACTTGTACCCAGTCATTTGCAGGCTTTTCTACTATCCTCCAAAGATTATACAAGGCTTGAAAGCAAGGACTAGATCTCGATTTCATCTTTCTATCCCAGGCAGTGTGGCCAAGAACTCTGTACACGTTGAAATTAATGGTCAGGTGCTGAGGTGTCTGATTCATCACGATCTCCCAGCACCTTGACTATAGGAGGTACTAACAAAACATATTTGAAATCTGAATCTCAAGATTGCTGCCTCAAAGTAAACTGAATCTCAAGGTTGCTGTCTCAAAGAAGGTGCCCGGGTCTCCCATAAACCCAGCTTTCCGGCCTGCATCCACACCCACGAAACGGGTCTCCCTGAAGCTGCCCATCTGGCCGGCAGCCTCCTGCACTGCTTGCTCATTCTGCTGGGCCAAGTGGAAAAGAGCATCTTCGATCGTCTCCGCGGCAACAGCTCCAAACTGAAAGTCTCTGACGGAGGCCAGTCTTGGCCTCACAGGTCTGTCCATCTTCAGAAGCCTTTCTGGGTACCCAGACACCTCACTGGAACCATAAACCGACCCCCTTAACTCCTCTCTGCAGTATTCTGGCACACCCTGAATTCCTCGTCCCCTTTTGTGTGCTCGTCGTCGCTTCAAGTCTGAGGAAAACCCTGTTTGCCCCACAGCCTAGAACCTTCCACGGACTTTTCCCACTCCAACGGTCGCACACCCCTCAGCCAATCAGAAAGCACGGCCGCTTCCCGCCTGCCCCGCCCTTCCCCTAAAGCAGAGAGCCGTACTCTCTCCGTAAAAAAAAAAAAAAAACGTGGACTACAACTCCCAGGTACCTCTGCGGAGGCCAAGGCCTGCTATTCCCAGCAAGCCTCGCGACCCGGGACTGCGAAGGGCGGAGCAGCACCATGGCGGCGTCGGGAGCCGGTGACCCTCTGGATGCGAGGAGTGGCGAGGCCCCGGTGGCTCAGCGCATCGACCCGACTCGGGAGAAGCTGACTCCCGCACAACTGCAATTCATGCGGCAGGTGCAGCTCGCCCAGTGGCAGAAGACGCTGCCGCAGAGGCGGACACGGAACATCGTGACCGGCCTGGGTATCGGCGCCCTGGTGTTAGCTATTTGTATCCGTCCAGACTATAGATTCGGAGACTGTACATGAGGGCAAATGGCAGGGGAGCAGAGGCACGTAGGAAAGCAGTGTCGGGTGGTAGAAAGAGCCTGAGCTGTGAAAGTCTTGGCCATTTATAACGCCGAACCAAGCGTTTAATGTACCTTATCGTTGTCATTTCAAGGTGTTCTTTTAATATGATGTATTAATAGTAACGGTGTCGGCGTCAGGGCCCAGAAGAGCTGGGGGCAGAAAGTCGATTCACTGATTTGGGAGGATGAGACCGTAGCAAAGGCTTGTGGAGCAAGTCAAGGAAAAGGGAATGTGCCTATTCCAAGTGGTTTCCTGAACCCAATTCCCCAGATGGTTACACCTTCTACTCGGTGTCCCAGGAGCGCTTCTTAGACGAGCTGGAGGATGAGGCCAAAGCTGCCCGAGCCCGAGCCCAGGCAAGGACATCAGGACCCTGAACGAGATGGACACTGCATATCTCCAACCCGCCGGAACACCTTCACTTGATGGATGATGCCCCATGACCGTATTAGAAATGGAGGCCTGCTCACAGCACTGCTGGCCTTTTTACTAACCTTAGATGATGATTGAACCAAAGAAGCCATAGATTTATGCATTTGGCCATCATCAAGGGAACATTGCCCACCTCATACACAATTATGTATGTCCACTGAGCCCCTCTTATAGTTTGCTTCCTTGTTTGAGAGATGATGTACAACCTTAGCTTTTCTTAAGCTTCCTGACTTTGTCGTTTACTCCCTTCACCACCCAGGGGCTTGTCTGTTTGCGGGTGGGGTGGAAGTTCTGTGCAGTGGGAGCCTAAAATGGGAAAGATGGGGTCAAGTCGGGAATAATAAACGAAGTCATCTCTCTTAGAGCTAAATGAGTGTGTTGGAGCTGAGCGATGGCATGACACTTCATGCTGGGAAGCTCCCCAGGCAGTAGCTGCAGCAGTGGCACTGCCCCAGGGAGCTGTAAATGTTTAACTACAATTACTTTCTCCATGAGATCTTTCCACCTGATTTGAGGGAGAGATCATGGTGGTTCACCCGGCTGAGGCTGAATCACGTCTTGGGGGAAGGAAGGTCACTCTTTTCTCCTCTGCACTCAAGAACAGTGTACCCTTACTCCAACTCTACTGCCTTTTCCCATGCTGAGAGGTAGATGAAGGATGAGAGCCAAACAGCCCTCCTTTTAACTGGGGCCTGCTTCTGGGCCTAAGGTGGGGTCTGGATGGGTTCTTAGTTTGGTCAAGTGGATCATTGACCTTGCAGTTTCCTCATGAACTTTTGGCAGGAAGCCAGAAGGTTGGGCAGCTTCCATCCCTGCCTCTCACTGTGAGAGATTCCCTCTGAAATCCTCTGCCTCCCCCCACAAGGCCGTGGCCCCCAGTTCTTACCGCACACCAGATAACGATTCAGAGTCCTAGTTTCCAGCATTTTTATTGGCTGCCACTAATTCTGGTGTGAGTACACCCCCTCCACATCCTCAGCTGGGAGTTTGCCCTCTAGAAATATCAGCTTGGGTGGGATTGCTTAGTGGTTGACCCTTGGCTGGGGAGGTGGCAGGAGTAAGGATGGCAGGCTGCAGAACTAATACCTTCTACACAGTAAATAGTTTCCACCTGTTTGGCTTTTCCCTATAATGGAGCCACACCCTCCATTCCCCTCTGGCCTACTCCTTCAGTGCTGGGGTCTTCCTTGTGGAGTTGTGTTGGTCAGCAGATTCTGAGAGCACAAGTTCCGTGGTGGGCCCTGGTGTGGGGGAGACACATGGCTTCTGTTCTGAATTCACTGGGGGGAAAAAGAAAAAGCACTGAAGAAACCTCCAGGGTGGGAGGAGGGCGAAGCTGCAGTCCTTTATCATTCCCTGGGCTCTCCCTCCCTTGGGCCCGCCCTCACCATCCTGCCAACATCCCCGGCGAATGTCACCCCCTTGCTTGCCCGCTGCTCCTGGGAGCCGGTGCTGCTGCCACTCAGGGAGTTCCTTCGCATGATGCCTGGGTGCAGGATGGGGAGGGAGAGCACTGAGTGAGGGAGGGGCCATGGGGAGAGGGGGGCTACTCCCCCCACACCAAGGGGCAGACCCCAAGGGCCTGGAAGAAAGCCAGATCAGTAGGGAAAGGGATGAGGGAAAGACGGGAGCTGGACTACTGCAGTCTCACCAGGGCCCTGAGGCTCAGAGCGCTGCAGGCTGTTGCGGCGGGAGGTGGGGAAGCTGCCCTTGGAGAGGCGGCGCTGGCGGCTGGAGAGCATAGCAGCGGGGGCCACAATACCCGGCGGGGGCTGCTTCCCAAGCCGGGTGTACAAGTCCTCAATTTCCTTCTTCTGTAGAGTCTGTAGTGCCTCCACCTCTGACAAGTGCCTGAGGACACACCGGAGCAAGAGTGGGCTAGCCACACACTCCGCCCTCTGACTTCATCTCTTGTCCTCTATCCTCCCCGGACTCACTTCTGTCGAAGACTCTGCAGCTCAGCCCAGAATTCCTCATCTTCCCCACTGCTCTCTGATTCCTCACTGCTCAGACACAAGCTGCTGTATGAGTAGTTCATCCACACAGGGCTGGGATGGCTCAAGGGTGGGGGGCTGCCCCCCATTTGGGGTTCCTTTCCATTGTCCCCTTCCTCTTCTACTCCAGTCCCCAGGCCCTCAGCTGCACGGTCGCTCTCAGCCAGAGCCTCCCTGGCCTCTGGCCCGCCTCCAGTATTGTCCTCTGTGTCCGAACTCTCCGAGGTCAGCTGAGGAGTTGCTGGCTTCAGGGAACTGGAGAGAACTGCGGATGCTGGTTGCAGGGGAAGAGACTCAGCTTGTTCCTTGGATGAAGTCACTTGGAAACGCCCAACAAGCTGGGGCTTTCCCTCTGTAGACAGACATGGAAGGAGTTATGGAAGGAGGGAGAGAAATCAGTGGCAGGAAATAAAGTGGATTGAGGATTGAGGTCAGTGGTCAGAGGTCTCACCTTCAGAGATGGGTGCTAATCTGGCTTCACCCAGGAGTGGCCGAGCAGGATTTGGCAAGGCCTGCAAAGAGTGGGTCCGTGAGGAGAGAAATCATCCGGAATGGAGACCCCCTCATTATCCCTCTTGGTTTCCTACTGACCTCGCTCTGCATCTCAGCTGTTAGGGGTGAAGGCCTCTCCTGGACACAAGGAGTAAGGGGTTGGGGAGAGGGCAGGCCAGGCAGGGAACCAGGTGGGGCTGGAGGAGACTGGGAAAGGAGCCCAGGTGAGGGCGACAGCAAAGACTGGGCCACAGTCATCACAGCCAGTGAGAAGGCACTGGCCAAAGAGAGGAGAGGGGCTGCTGGAGTGGAGGGGAGGGGAGAAGTAGAGGAGCACAGGGGAAATGGAGGAGGAGTGAGAGCGCCCTGGGGACAACTGGGAGAGGAGGATGGTGGAGAACTGGGGATGAAAGAACTTGGTGGAGACTGAGAGGATGGGACTGGAGACTGGGCTGCACTGGGGGAGAAAGGAAGCAGAGAGCTGGGGGGGTGTGGAAAAATGTTTAAGGAGACTTGGGAGGATGTGCAGGGGCTGGGATGACATGGGGGAGAAGCAATGGGGGGGAAGACAGGGCTTGGGAAAACAGGAGTTCCAGGGGAAAATGGGTTTCCAGGAGACATGGGGGTTCCAGGAGAGGATGGGGAAGTAGAGAAGGCTTCCCAGCTCCTCTGCTCCAGGGAGGTGCTGCTCTGGAGTTCTGCTGGGGAGAAAGGTATGTTGACATTATAGTCCCCCATTCCCTATGCTCTTCCCAGGAACAACCCCAATGAGTAGGGGCAGAGCTCAGTACATACCACTGGATGGGTCTGGGAGGGGGCCCGAGAGGGCAGGCAACGGCACTGGCTCCTCCTGAGAAAGAGAAAGGGGCCCACAGTCATGGTGGGAAGAGCTTTGTCCTAAATGGGAGGTTCAGACTGGGCTTAAGCTGGGCCCATGGACCTCTAGGAGTCCACAGATGAGTTTCAAGGAATTCGCAAGTGTATGCACTGAAATATTAAGAGGTAAAGGGGCATGATGTCTGCAATTTATTCTCAAGTGGTTCAGAAAAATATGTGCGCACATATACAGAGAGGGGAGAGAGGAAGAGGGACTGTTAAGCTAATATGGCAAAATGTTAACAATTGGCAAATCTGGGCAAAGGGCATCTAGGAGTTCTTTGTACAACACTGGCAACTTCTCTGTAAGTCTTAAATATCAAAATAATGAGTTAAAAGAAAAGTATGCATTGAACACATTTTTCTAGAACAAAGGTCCATGGTTTTCAACAGATTCTCAAATCAAATCAGATTCTCACATTTCTCTAATTCTCAAGTTGTTTTAGGGTGATGCAGAGGAGCTAGATCCAAGGGGACTGGTGAGGGCAGACAGTAATAAAGCCTGGAGCAGAGTCTGTTCCCCCTGGAGGTACCCAGGGGGTCTGACCTGAGGGTCCAGATGGTCTTCAGCAGCCTCCACAGGAGCGGTATCTCTCTTCAATAGGGTCTCCACTCGCTGGATAATCTCACGAATCCTGCTCAGGAATCCAGTTCGCTCCGAGGGCAGAATGAATTCATTATATACCTGGTGAGGGTCAGCAGGAAGGGGAGGGAGAGCTTAGTCATCCAACTCTTCCCTTGCCCCCTGTCCTGATCTTAAAAAAACCAATCCTTCATCCCTCCACTTCTGCTGTCCACCAACCTAAAGCAAGTATTTGGTGAGTATCTATTGTGTGCCAGGCACTGGATGGTGTGAGGAGAAACACAGCTTAGAGAACAGGAGCAAGTATTCATGGAATACATGTATAACACAGTGCTTTACCTGTCTTATCACATTTAACCACCACAGCTTTCTGGGGCCTGTATTAACATCCTCATTTGGGGGTTTAAGATAAGCCATGCTCAAAGAGGTTAAGTTCAGTCTGCCCAAGATTATAGGATTTGCACCCAGATATGTCTAAAGCCAGAGCTTGAGTTCTTTCCACTGTTGCCTCAGATGCTTTTGGATACAGTTCCTGCTTTATATGGCTTATAAAATATACCACACAGGCCCACATATACACATGCCCACAAAGTTAAGTAAAAATAAGGCAACAAATGGTAGATGTAACATTCAACTCCATAAACATTTGAGCACTAGACACCAGACACCATGCTAGGTACTGTGAGGACTACAGTGAAACATAAAACAAGGTCCTTGTCTTGAGAAAGCCCAAAATCTACTGAGAAAGACACATATATACATAACTCAGTATCGTGTAAGTGAGCCCATGGTAGGTAAGGCATTTATGATAGAGGTATAGATAGAAATGCTATTCCAGGAAGGGAAAGGGGAGATCTCTTTAATGGGTATAGAGTTACAGATTTGCAAGATGAAAAAGTTCTAACTAGAGATCTGTTTCACAACAATGTGAATATAGTTAACACTATTAAACTGTACACTTAAAATGGTTAAGATGGTTAACATTTTATGTCTTTTTTTATCACAGTTTTTAAAAATGCTATTCCAAGGACAGCAGTTATACCATCTTGGGGGATGGGGAAAACTGGGATGGCTTCACAGAGCTGAGCCTTGAAGGACAATATGAACAGCAACCCTTTATTGAAAACCTGCCATGTGTGAACACTTCTCATAGATATTATATCAGTTCTCATAAATTATATATTACATCAGAACATCTTACAAAATAAATATTATCACCTGCATTTTACTGATGAGTAACTGAGGTTCAGAGAAGTTATGAACCTTATCCAAGTTCACCAAATTAGTAAATAACAGAGCTGAAATTTGCATTCAAGTCTTACATGAAAACCCACCCTTTCCTCTGTTCCACACTGTTCACCAGAAAGCAAAGGGCAGTCTAGGCAGAGTGAACAGCACGAATAATAGCTCTGAGGCATAAAAGGGCATGGCACATTCACAAAGCAGTGAAGACAGGAACATATCTGAGAATGCTGTAAATTTTAATGGCCAGACTCCAGAATTTGGATCTTGGCCCTTAACCACAGGTAGCCACTGAAGATTTGGGGGACAAAAAGCAACAAGATCAGACCTAAGTCTCAGGAGAGTTCTGCTGTAGAGGGGAAGGTAGATTAGTTAAGGACAGAAAAGAGGCCAATAGACTCAGGGTTCAGGGGCTGGGTCATTTTGGCTGGTGGGACCTGAGTGGGCTTGAAAGCCCAGTAGAGAAGGCTCTTGGAGCATAAGACAGAATCAGGGTAGATGCAGAATCAGGAGGGTACCAAGCCTCTTTAGAGGACAAATCAGAAACCAGTGTGGCCAGAGGACAGATTCTTGAAAAGTCAAGTGGCTTGACAGAAGATAAGCCTGCATTTTGTTTTTGTCCTGGACACAAGGTGAGTGACATGATGGAGGAAATACTTTTAGAGAGGTTTCCTGAAGCCTAACGTTTCTCCCATTCACTCCCCTGCTTCACACAAAGGCTGGCACCCACTGCCCCCACTCCACTGAAACTGGTCCCTCCTCCTGCCAAAAGCCAGTGTGGTCTTGCCTCAGCCTTCACCCTCTGCACCTCCTTGGAACTCCTCCTCACTCAGTTTTTATTAAGATCTTCTAGGGCTCCTCCTACCTCTCAGGCTCCATCTCTGTGTCCTTTGATGACCTGTTGGCCCCCCCCACCTCATTCCGGAACTGGGGGAATCCACTGAGACACACTCTCAGGCCTCTATGTCTCTGGCTTTGGAGGCTCATCTCTCTTCATTCTCCATTCTGCGCTCACACTCCTAGATCCACTTCTTTCTCCAGTCCTGCCTGCCTCCTATCCTGTTCCTGTAGAGGATCCTATCTTGCCTGCCCCTATCATTCAAGCTCATTATGAGCCCTAAAAACCTACTTTCATTTTCTGCCTTCCTCTTCTTTGTAGGTCTACTCCCATTAGTTCCTGTGCACTACAATTCACCCTTGATATCCCCTCTCTCCAACTCCTTACATATCAACTCAACAAGAATTTATTAAGCTTTGCTATATGTATTGTACTGTCAATAAATTACTGGATTACAGAGTTCTTTATTTTCATAAAACAATCCTCAGATTCACCCCCTTTCTTCTTCCCTCCCCCCATAATCCAGTCTCTCTTTGGGTCACGTCTGGCTTCTCATATCCACCTGCCAACTGGATTCCCACTCCTCAGCCCTCTCTCACATCCCACGGCAGAATGGTCTTCCTAAAACCTACTCTCACCATGTCACACTGTCTGACTCTTAAGACTGTCTATAATCTGGGCCTATACTCTACATGCCTAGCCTTGCTTCCACAATTCTTCCACATGAACCCTCCTTCCAACAACAGTGCTCCCCTCAAAGCCCTACTAGCCCCATTCCAAATCACATCCTGCTTCCACACCTTTGCTTAAGCTGTACCTCCACCAGACATGCCCTTTCCAGTCTTCATCGCAATTCTTACCCATCTGCCAAGACCCTGCATAAGCCCTACTTCCTTCCCTAGCTGCCAGCAACCCGATCTTTTACTTAAGGCCATGGTGTCACATGTCTAGATGTACTTCACTGTAGTACTTGTGTATACCCTATGTTAGTCTCAAATTGTCCAGCTGAGGATCCTAACCTCAGCTGAAATACCCCCCAAAACAAGGACAAAGGTGTCTTCAGTGTCACTGGGCTTTTTAAAAACCCTTGCTGTTGGGTGGGAGAAGGGGACGTTCAACATCAGGAGATATCAGGAGAGAGACTCTTGTCCTAGACCCAAAGACTCTCTCCCCCTCACCATGGCAGCTGCAATCTCTTCTGGGCTGTCCCCATCCAGATCAAATCGGAAGGTCACCATCTTGCTGTTGTGCGTCTGTAGCTGGCACTCAACCACTCTGTCATTCTGGTCTGAGACCTTCAGATTCAAAGCCGGCAGAGGGGAGAGGTTAAGCCCTCTGTCCTCGTCACATGTCTCCACCTCACTGTAACTCAGTGACACTGGCCAGATTGGAGTTGGAGAGAAGCAGATTCTGCCCCCAAAGTCTGGTATTAGAAACTAGATTGGCTGTCTCTTGGGTAAAGAGGCTGACCTCCCCTATCCTCCTGAGCATTCCCTCCTGGCCTTCTGGGTTACAGCCCAACTCCTGTGCCCCTTCCTTACACTAGTGACCCGCAGCCGGGATCGGGGTCTGCGCCGGAGATTTCTGCTGGGGGGTCTCCTCATCTGTCCCATCCCTTCTCCCATGTCGCTAAAGCCTGAAGCTGCATCTGAGGCATAGCTAGAAAAGGGTAAGGAGAGAGGAGTGTCAGAGTGGACATGAGGACCCCAGAGCTCCATATGTCTCACTTTAGCACCCCAACTCATAGCAGACCTTACCTGTCTCCAGGGGAAAAGTCACTGCCAGGGCCAGAACGTGGAACGGATAGGGCAAAAGCCTGAAATAGGATATATGGGCTCACGAGGTCAAGTCAAGGTAACTGAGGATCTACAGGGGTGGTGTCAAGGATGCTCAGGTACTAGGCACAGGGAATTAAGGAATATGAGGCCAAGAGCGCTGGATTTCCAGGGACATGGGGCCAGGTCACGGGGTTCGGTTTCACAAGGAGGAAGATAGGTCATAAACTCGGAATAGCTGGGAGCCCCCCATATGACCCTCTCTCACCGAGGGCAGGCAGAGATGGGGCTCAGCAGGGCTGGATGGCACCCCCCTAGGGGGCTGAAGGGCAGGGTCTGAGGTATCCAGGAAGCCAGAGGAGCTGAGGTAGCCATCAGTCTCGCAATCCGCTGGTGGGGGAGCAAGGGAATCAAAAAAGGGGAAATAAATGGGTGTGGTGGCAGAGGAGGAGGGCTGCCTGAGCAAGGAGCGGTTTGGAGCTGTTGAAGCTCTTTCCCAGAAGGAACTTCATGGCCAGATGTGGAAGGCAGGGCAAGTGCTGCTAGGCTGAACTTCTGGGTGAAGGGCAGAGGCCAAGGGTTCTGGGACCTAGGTCCCACGGTCAAGGGTGACTTACAGGTGGTAGATGAATAGCTGGCATGGCAGAAGAGGAAGGGCTGGTGCTGGTCTGCCTCTGGCTCCTCAGGCTCAGTGGGGAAGATACTAGGAGGACCAGGAGTCATGGGGACAGCTGCTGGTGAGGGTCCTGGTGCTGGGGGGAGGGTCTCCAACTCCCTAGCTTTGCGCAGCTTCTCACGCTTTCGCTGGATGGCAGCAACCCGTTCACGCACTGCTCGGGCCACTGGCTGGTAATCAGCTTCACAAACTAAACCCAGGGCCACCTGGAGGAACACAATTTGAGGTGAGGACTCCCCCTCAAAGACCCATTAGACACCTTCTTGGAGCCTCCATGGTATGGGAGAAAGGCAACTAACATTTATTGCTTACCCACCATATCCATCAACTGGCAACTCTTTATATTTTCATCATTAAACCCTCCCAACAACCTCTGAGGTAGGTCTTATCAGCCCTGCTTTAGAAATACTTGAAGTTAAGTGACTAGTTTGTGGTTATACAGTAAGTCGATTGCTTTCAGGGGGAGGGGGAATATTTGGCAATATGTGGGGACATTTTTAGTTATCATAACAGGGGGCAGGTGCTACTGGCATCTAGTGAGTAAAAGCCAGGGATTCTTCCCAGCACCCTACAGCGCAAAGTCCTCCAAACAAAGATGTCAGTAGTGTTGAGGTCATGGATCCCTATAGGTAATGGATCAAGATTTGATCTCAGGTTGGGTTTGAGCTGTGCTATGGAGACCTGCTCTTATGTCACATTTCAAATACATTCTCAGATTCTTGACTCAGACCCACCATGGATGAAAAACTGCCATTTTTCCATTGAGAATCTCATACTCTCTCCCTTTCCTGCTCAAGCCCTCCTAAACCAGCCTTTCTAGCTCCCATATATACTTTCTAGTCTGCCAGCTTCCATTCATCATCTCCTTATTCCTTCCAATGACAAGCTTTACTGGGCATGTAAAAAAGGTAGGGCAGAGAAATCTCACTTAAAATCTGAATGGCCTGAGTTTAAATCCAGATCTGCCACTTACTTGCTTGGGACCTTGCATAAGATATTCAACCTCTCTAAGCTTTCATTTCCTTATCTATAAATTGGGATAACATCATTCTGTGAAGGGTTGGTAACAATGATCAAATGCATGTGAAAGGGCTCTAGGCCATGTACAGAGGTGGGCTGTTAATGAGCTCCTACCATGTGCCACGCACTGTGGGGAGATAGAAAAATGAATGAAACACAGTCTCTACCCTCAAGGAGTTTATAATCTAGTAGAGAAGAAAGATAGGAATGTATTCTGGTATAAAACAAGACCCACGGTGGTGGGTCCTGTAATGCAGGGCCTGCTGCAGTGGCAAGAAGCATTTAATTTTGACTCGAGAGAGGACAGGTTTCCAGAAATTGATGGTTCTGAGCATGGAGGAAGAAAGAAAAAGAGCAAGGAGCAGGGGGATGAAAAAGGGAAAAATATATCTTCAGAGAGAATGGTATTCCAAGAAAATTGGATCAGCATGAAGAAAGGGAGACTGGAGGCCCCCAGAGTTGTTCTGGAAAAGGAAATCTTGAACTGTGCTACAGAGACCTGCTCTTATACCACATTTCAGGGTGTGTAATGCGGACGTATTAAAGCTAGACAGGCAGGGAGACACTTGCAGGAGAGGCATAGAGGGGCGGAATGGATCCCCTCCTCCCCCCCGGTCCCCCACCCAGTGGCACTGGCTCCTCCAGTCAATGCTCAAATGCCCTTGATAAGTCCAGATGCAGGGCAGTCAGTGGTCTGCTCACCATCTCCTGAGCCACCTCCTCGGCTGCATCCCGGCCGAGTTGGAAGAGGAACTCAATGGCCTGGTTGTCCCGTGGGCGTCCCCCCCGCCGCGCGTCCTCCATGCGCAGCCAGAGCTTGAGGCCTGGCTTTTCACCGTCGTCCTCCTCTGCCAGCTCTACGTGCACACCGCGCTCCTCACGGAAGAAGGCGTGAGCCAGAAGGTCCTGGATAGTGAATCTGAGGGCCGAGAGCCATGGTAAGCAGCGCCCCGCTGCCAGCTGCCCAAACCCTTTACCCCTCCACCTCACCTCTCGTTCTTATCTGTGCGGATGCAGCCTTCAATGATCTCTTTCACCTCAGGCATCTTCACCTTGTTAAAGCTGTTAGGCTTAGTGCCCTGGTGGAGGGGGTTGCGTGAGGCTTGGGTCCTCTGCGCCCCAGCTCTCGGTTGGCCACCCTGCTCCGCCCCCACCCAAGGCAGCAGAGCGTGCACTCACAAAAGCACCGTGGCTGCTACTAGATTTGATTTCGAATCCTAGTCTCCCCACATATCGATAGTGTGACCTTGAACAAGTCTCCCAAAGAGCCAGTTTTCTCATTTAAAAAATGCAGGGCAGAACATTTGCTTGCCCCGCCGGCAGCTGGAAGGATCGCATGAGAGACTGGATGTGAAAACGCTTGTATACTTTAGGGAGCGCTACATACATCATTATTCTAAATGGCCTGGGCTGGAGGGGAATATGTTTGCGTCCAATATCCTTCAGTGTTCACAGGCGTATCTTTGCGTCTAGCCTGCTTTCATTAAGGGAAAGGGCATTGACTGCAGACTGGTTGGGGTAGGAAAATGGGCGAAGAACTGAAATGCCCTCTCTTCCCCTCCCCTCTCACCGAAGTGACCTTGCGGTAGATTTGTGCGGCATTCTGGCACTCCGAGTAAGGGTACTCTGAGGTAGCCATCTCCAACATGCACATGCCAAACGCATACACGTCCACGGCCTCATCGTACTTTTCCTCGTACATCTCAGGGGCCATGAACTCTGGAGTACCTGTAGGATCCACAGCAGGCATCGGGCTGCAGAGCCTCCCTGTGGCTTTGTCCCTCCCCTTGGTTGTACTGTAGGCTGGGCTGGGGTGGGGCAGGGGTTCTGGAGTGCAAGTGAACACCTTCCCCATCTCGTGGGGGGACAGTGTGTAGGGAAGAGGCGAGGCCATAGAGCTCCCCATTTTCCCCATGGTCTGATTCCCTGGATAACAAAGGACCCTGCTTGGGAAAGGGGGTCCACAGGATCTCTTCTGACGTGGAATCCAAGGACCCTCCTGGAGGGACGCACCAATGACACTTTTGGCAAACGAGGCGCGCTTGAGCGTGGCCAGGCCCAGGTCCCCAATCTTGACCGAGCCTGTAGGGCCGGTGATAAAGACGTTGTCACACTTAAGATCTCGGTGTAGGATGGGGGGTACTCGGGAGTGTAGGAAGTGCAGCCCCCGAAGGATTTGGCGGCTCCAGCGCTGAAGGACTCGCGGCTTCATCTCTCGGAACCGCCTCAGGTATCTGGGGGAAGGCGCATGGCCAGAGGTATGGTGGGTACACACTGGCAGGGGAGGGCGTCCCCAATTAGTTCCCCCAGCCCCACCTGCACCGCTGCCCATGCTTCTGCCAGCATTCTCCTAGCCTATGTCCAGCACCAGGCTCTGGGGAGAAACTGAGTCCAGTGGGTAGAGGGAGGATGGTAGGTGGACTTGGAGGTTAGGCAGGGGTCCAACATACACTCACAGGTAGGGCGGCCACCAAGGTGCTGCAGAAGCATTGGGATGACTCTCCCGGGTGTTGGGGGCGGGGGCTCACAGAGGAAATAACTTTTGTGTTGTTTCTTGAGGATGAGTAGGAGTTCAGGGTGAAAAGGGGGAAGGGATGCAGACTCTCCAAGCAGATGGGACACCATGCCTAAAGGCAGGGGGACAGCAAGTGACAGCAGGGTGGAAGGAAGTGCTGGGAATTCAGTGTGTTTGTTATTTGACCTGAACATGAGTCTGGATCCTAAGGAGTGTGTGAGCAGCTTACAAGTGTGGATTTTATCCCGAGGGTGGTGCCAAACCTTGAAGGGATTTTAAGAAGAGGAGTGATAAGGTCATAATTGGGATGGAGAGAGAGGGCCTCAGGCTGCAGGAAGATAGGATGGCTTGGAGAGGAGAGGGACAGAGTGGGGAAAGGCCCTCTGGAGGGCTTCTGCAGGGCTTCAGACCAGTAAAGTGACAGCAAGGTGGCGACGTGATAGCACTGAAAGCCCAGAGGGGAGATACAAGGAGAAGCTTGGAGGCAGATTGATAGAGGAAGGGGATACACAGAGTGGAGAGAAAGGAGGTGTCTGGAGAGACACCCAAGGTCTGGCTGGAGTGTTAGATGGACATTGCCATTCACCAAGGCGGGGACACAGGAGGGGTGGGTGAGAGATAATGAGCCTAGTTCTGGACCTAGATATAGAGTTTGAGGAGCCTGAGAGAAGTCCCAGAAGCTGTGGGGACCGCTCACCACCAGCCCTCCCATTAACCACTGCTGCCAGTCTCAGAGCTCACGTCTTCAGAGTGCCGGAGGTCATGAGTTCCGTGACCAGCACAATGCAAACCTGACCCCTCAACACTGACTTCCACGAGTCATAGAAGCGGACAATGTTGGGGTGCTGCAGCCCTTTGAGCATCTCCACCTCTTCAGAGAATCGCTGCCGCTCAGCTCGAGACAGTTTGCGAGTCTGTGGGGTAGGAGACAGGGGTCACTGTCATGTCAGGTTCAGCACTCCCAAGGACAGAGGGTGGGAGCGCATGAGAAGGGACTGGGGGAGAGATGAGAGTTGGAGCTGATGGATGGGGCTGGGTAGGTGGGATTGCTCACCCAACCGGCTATAGACCCCAAATTCCTGGTCAGCCCCTGAGCAGCTCCAAGGACACGCCCATCCTGGGCCTGGGGCCACACCTGGACCCCCTGCTGAACACAGGGCCTTTATGCAGCCAGGTCCAGGAGCCATGAGCTCAATAGCGCCTTTGTGGCTGACCAGGACGGCCACAGGGTGGGAGGGGATGCCTGGGGGCTGGCAGCAGGCAGGCAGCAGGCGAGCGGATGGCAGGCAGAGAGTTGGGGCTGGCAAGGGGGTTGGACCCAGAAACTGGGAACCACTAGATCCAGACCGGAGGTGGGAGGGCTGCAGAGGGAGGTACAGAGAAAGGATCCAGGACCATGGGCCAGGAGACCGCCCCCTGCCCTATGGCTGTCCCACCCCCATCTCATCTCCCTCCAGCTCTCCCAGTCCCCACCCCCTTACCCCCCAGTTTGGCCACCTTCCATGCCTGGCCTAGAGCCTGGGGTGCGGCACTGGCAGGAGCAAGGGGCAAGCCCAGTGCCAGGGCTGGAGAGGAGGACCTGTTCCCCACGCACTGTCAGAATCCGAAGGTGCTGGCCCAGACTTAACTGGGTTTTCCTCTATGGGAGGAAGGTCTTTGGGTTTGGGAAGGGAGAGTCCAGGTAGGCAGTGGGATGAGAACCAGGACTGGACTCAGGCCAAGGCTGGGGCTCCCTGTCTTCCCCTCCCCCAGCTGTGAAGAAGTCCATTAGTCTGACTGCTCCAGAAAGGGCTTGGAAGGGCCCCATCCTGCCACAATAGCCCTAAATCTTCTGGGAGTGAAGAAGCTTCTGCCCCAGCTCCTGGCCTCCACCATCCCAGCCTCCTAATCTGCAAAGACTCAGAGTAAGGGAGTCGAAGGATCAGGGTCACACTGACGGTCTCGGGACTTGGGTAAGGGAGAGGAAGAAATAGCGGGTAACCATTGCAGGGAAGTGATAAGGCCAGCCACCCCTCAGATCTGAACTGACTCCCTACCCAATTTCCCATCCTGTTTATCACCTCTTAGGTTGAGTATGGAGAGTTTAAAAGTGAGACTGTCTAAACCCATGGGGGAGCCACCATACACCATCTGCCTCAGTTACTCCTTCTGCAGCCCAGAATCAGCCAGATCCATGGATCATCAGAGCAAGGGGGACAGGAGTGTCTGGACATTTGACTGGAAAAATACATCCCTCCCTTGCTGCTGTCCCTGAGTCTCCCATCCCAAGACCTCCAAAGGGTCCCATGCAGAAATGCCACCGAGGGGCCACCCAGCCGCACCTGCAGCTCACACCAGGCCACCTCCACCGTGGTGTCGGTGTCCAGCCCTCGATACACCGTCTTGAACGAGCCACGTCCAATTTCGATGTCAAACTTGAGGTATCGGCCGTCGGGGGACGTTGCCACTGCCTGGGTCTCCGTGTCCTCCTTCTCCTCCTGTTCCCGCCGCCGATCCCGGGCAGCGGCTTCAGGGGTCCTTGGCGGTTCCCGGGCCCCCGGGCCTCCTGCAGAGCCCGCGAGCTCCCGATGCGTGGAGTCTGCAGGCTTCACCGGGGTTTCCCCGGTCCGCGTGCCCTCGGGGGTCTCTTCAGCGCTAGGCGGTGGGCTCCTCGCGGGGCCGGGACCAGCAGAATCCGGAGGATCAGGGGGCTCCGGAACGGGTGAAGCTGGCTGGGACCAAGAGCTCAGCAGACCCAAGTCGACGGAGCTGCGGCGGCTGAGACGGGAGGAGCGCTGCCGGGGCTCAGCCTTCCCGGAGAAGCGGCGCGCCCGGCGAGGAGGTGGCCCGAGGCGGGGCTGCCCCGCCGCGGCGAGAGGCTTCGGCGGCCGCAGGGCCAGGTCGGCCTCCACCTGGGACATGGGGGCCGTTTCTGGGGCTGGGCCTGTCAGCATGAGGAAGGGCCCCGGCAGGGTGGGTCGGCCGGGCTGCAGGAGAGGCGGCGGCCTGACAGGGTGCGCAGCGCTCTCGCCGAGCTACTGGGGCCCCAGTCCCCGCTCTCCTGCTCCGCGGCCACGCCCCCGGCCACGCCCCTCCCCCAGGGCCGCCCCCTCGGAGCCACGAACAGCTCGGATCCGCAGGCACTGCCCCTCACCTCAGCCACCACCCCGTCCCCGGTTGCTTGCCCTCCTCTCCCTCACCCTTCCACGCCCCCGCCTTCAGCCTTATTCCGAGGCAAGACTCGGTGCAAGGCGGCAGTCTACGTGTCCTCCCACACTGAGTGTGCAAACCTGTTTATGCGCAGGGCGCGGGGACACGACGTGATGCTGGGCCAGGGAGAGGAAGCGTGACCGCGGCTCCCGGGCCTTAGAACGGCGGGTGGTTAGGGGCAGCTACCACCCGCCTGCAGGCCCCAGATAAGGTAGCCGCCACTGCTCCTAATCGTCCGGAGTGGCCCCAGGCAGACAATACAGAGGTCAATGGAAAGGTCTGGTTTTCTAAGACGCTGTCGTCCTTCTTGGCAGCACAAGGATGGGTGTGTACACCCCAAGACAAGCCCCTCCTTCAAACCAAGGACCCGGTCACCCAACCTCTTCACCTCCCTACCTTGGCCACAGCCTGGCCCTGGCCAGAGTGGCTGTTTTTGCTATGTGGGCTCTGCTTCCTCCCCCGTTCACCAAGTTTCCTATAAAGCAAAGTCCATATCTAGTTTACGCTCCCTCAGCTCCCCTTGGCCTCAACTACCTCACCAGACCAGATGGATGGAGGCAGGGGCTTCAGAGTAGTTCAGGACTTTCATGGGGGGAGATGGTGAGGGAAGGGGTAGCCATTAAGTCACTCCAATTCAGAGACAGAAAGCAGTCTGTCCCCAAGCTGCGTTCCATCCGCACTCTCCCACACAGCCCACCAGATGTAAAGCCACAGACTCACTGGAGCCTGCCAGGACTCAAGGCCCTTTCACGTACAAAGGGTACAAAGGCCATAGGCCTCCTCTCACCTCTCAAGGCTGGGAATCATTCAGGGGGTAACACCTCACAGCCCTCTCCATGCCCATTCCAGTAGTAACTTCAGTGGCAGGCAGATTTGTTTTTTAATATCATAAATCAGTGTCCAGCCCGGCCCCTTCCTGGGCCTCCTATCTTCGTATTGACTGGAAGGCTGCCTGCAGCCGGGGTTTCTCCCCTCCCCTAGGAAGAATCCAGCACCAGCCTGGAGGGGAGGCAACAGCAGCTAGGGGGTGGGAGGGGGAAGAGACAGAAGCTTGTGCAGGTGCATGTATGTACTTCTGTGTGTGAACACATGTGAAGTGTTAGGTTTACTGACCCTGGCTCAGGGGCAATCTAGGACAGAAGAGGAGGTAGGGCAAGGAGAAGCACATCTTTTCTCCCTGGCACCTCGGCCTTGCCCTATCCCAGGGACAGACACATGGGGTAAATGGGAAACCCACCCCCAGACTAGAGCCCTTTTGAGTCTGGTTGTCACAGATCCAGCCTGTGGAGACACTGAGTCTGTCTCCTTTTGAAAGCCCTGGAAGGGTGGGAGGTAATACGTAAAGAGAAGCAAGTCTCTGCTAGAAGAACTTGACACCTCGGCCATCGCTGACAGTGATGATCTCGGCCTTGTGTTCTTGCTGGAGGGCCTGCAGAGCCCGCAGTAGGGTTGCCTCATCCAGCCCATGGAACTCTGGACAGGGAGAGATGGGTAGTCAGGGACATTCAGCTCTTTGGGGCTCAACGCCTCTAAGGAAAGCAGTCTAGCTGGAAGCTGCAACCTTGCAAAGCTAGGTTACAAGTGGGCCACATATACTGCTGCAGCTACTACCCACCCTTCCTGGATATTCCTTAGGAGTAAGGGGGGGGTGGTGGTGGAAGAAAGCCTGAGTCAGCATGAAATGAGAGTTCATGCCTACCTCCCCCCTTCCTGGTTCTTCTGTCAGATTCAACCCCCACAAAGCCCCCGTTATTAGATGTACAAGAGTGGCACCATTTACTTGTGGGCCACAAAGTGGGGACCAGACCAGATGGATGGAGGGAGGGGCTTCCTTGACAAGCCAAGGATGGTCAAGGCCCTGATCACTGGACATTGACCCTGGCTGCACATGTACCCATGAAGAGGATCTATCTGAACACAAAGAAATATAGCCATACCTCTGTTAAGGTCCAGTGAGTATCTGGACATAGGTAAGACACTGCTGGGAGATGTGAGACGCAGAGGGCAAGCCCCAACAGGCTTGCACATCTCACTCCCTGAAGGGGCCTAGCTCTTGAGTCAGGGAGCTTGGCTTTCTGAGGAAGCCTCCAGCTTTGCCCAGCCTGAGTGGTGGGCTGGGCATGGCTACAGCACTGAAGTCATGGGGTAACGGTGGGAGTAGCAAGCAGAGGCCTGCAGGGCAGGGGGAAACAGCCAAGAGCTGTAAACTCCACTGCGGCAGCCAGAACCTGGAAAGGGGGAGGCACCCCTTTTTCCTCAGCTAAGATTAGAACTTTTGGTGATCCTGGAGATTAGAATATGAAGTCAGAGATTAAAAAGCTAAGGGTGTATTCACATATGCAAAAGTCAAACAGTATACAAATCCTTGCTTGGACGGAAACCAAAGTATTTAAAAGGCCTGGGGTGGGGATGGGGGTGTTAGCCCAATCCCGTCAGCCGACGCCCACAAATCTTGAGCCTTCTATAAGTATAAGGGGTGAAAGAAAGCCCGAGTCAGCAAGGAATGAGATTTCCAGCTTAATCTCTTGCTCTGGTTCTTCATTCAGCATCTATACCAATAATTAATTTGTTCATGGGTCACAGATGCCCTTGAAAATCTTATAATATGGACTCTATCCCTAGAAAAATGCATACATCCTCACAAAAAAATTTGGGGGTTTTCTGCATGTGAATTCAGGTGGTTTATAGAAACCTTGGACATGGGTTAAGGAGTCTTGTGTTACATAGTACTTGGACTTCAGAGGTAAAGAAATGGAAAGTCTGAATGTACATTAAACAGGCACTGAAGAGAGAATTCAGATGACAAAGCTGGAGTGAAAGGAAAAGCATTACCCTCATTCTCTGTGTCTTCCCCATTGGTCAGTTCATACAGGGTGAACACGGAGTTGTTCTGGCCACTCCTGGAAACCTACGACACATTAAACAGGTATTAAATAAGGACCGGGAATCTCCTGAGAGAAGGTAAACTCATCAGCAACATCTCTCTGACCCAGGAACGTTGCCTAATCCTAAACCAAGACTCACTGTCACCTTGGCAGAGGAATGGCCTAAAAACCCACAAACCCTACAGGTGCTATATTTGTATGTGTACACACACATTCAGAACCACTAAACCACAGGCCTTCACATGTTTGAGCAGTGACCTCTCATTCTGTTTTCCTGTTTGGGAATAGGTGGGGTGTGTTTTGTTACATTTGGGTTGTTGATGCTTCTTCCCCCTCCTCTCTCACTTGGGAATGTTTAGGGCTGGTGGTGGGTGGGAATCTGGGGGGAAAGAGTCTGTCTTCACACCCACACTGGTTCAGAAGGTCTCATTCATATTGTGGATAGCCCCATAAGGGTGTGGTGAGGAAGGTGCCCCAAGTTTTTTTCTCCTTCTTTTCCCCATTTATCTTCTGTGGGCAGAGGCTTGGGCCATCAACAGTACTCATGGTTCCTAGTACTGCATTCTCCAAACAGAGCCTCACGTAGCCTCTGGCCTCCTACAGGCAAAGGAAGGGAAGTTCTGTGCAGCCAGGGAAACTGAGTTACCGAAAGAGGCTTGCCTGGAAGACCTATGCTTCCTCTTTCTGCCCTTTCCCACTTTGTTCAGTCCCGAATATGGGAACACCAGGTCTCTGCTGAGCACAGACATAATTCTCCTTTGCCATGGGTCACTGCGGCAGAATAGTCTCACCCACTGATAGATGAGTTTTCCCCATTCTTCTGGCCTCCGCCACATGACCAGGAAGCTAGACTTGTTCTTATCCAACCACTCAAGGTTCCCTGCAAAATAGATACTTATGAAAGCATTTTGCTCTAGGAAGGGACAAAGATGCAAAACCCAAGGTGGAATAGAGTAGAAGAGACTCAGCTTTCAAAAAGAGAAATTCAAGATTTGCTTTACTATCTGAAGGCACCCATTCTCCTCTACCTCTCTTCAGGTATTAGGGCACAGATGGAGACCTCAATTTTGTATACTAATGAAGGAAAAGGACCCAGCAAATTGGGCTGTCTACTGTACAAAACACTCTGGGCTGCAAGCCAGGGGGAGAAAACAGTTGTTAAAAGACTTGTGCTAATCTGCCCCCAGGAAAACCCAACTAAGAGGAAAAATAAGGAATCGGGGGAACCAAACCCACCTTTCTTCCTCAGTTCCTCTAATACAATCTGTATTGATTCCATAGGGAGCTTCCCTGGCTTAAGGTTAAGGAATGGTATTTATGGAATGACCTGAATGAAATAAAAATTCTCGGAGCCTCATGCTGAGAACCACCTGCCCCCTTCCTCTTCCTTCCACACAAATATATGTTCAATTTGCCAGAGGAATACAAATTGTCATTTCCTGGATATTGGGGGGCAGGAAGGTAAAGAGAAACTAGTCCAATTAACAGGAAGTTTTAGAAAATGAAAGGTACTATTCCTCACCCCATATTCTCTCTTTCCTCCTTCATCTTTTCTTCTCAGATATTTTGGATATGAATCAGACAACAAAAACAAATGACCCTTATTTCCTGGGAGGAGGAGGGTAGTTGGAGGAAATTACTAAAGGTAGTTCCAGAGTTTGGGCTTCACACAGATGAGGACAGATTTTTCAAAGTCAAAACAGCTCAGGTTGGAAAGCTTGAGGCTTGGCTTTGGGGCAGATTCTCAGACCCGCCAAACACCTGATACTCATCACTGCGTAAGACAAAAGGGCTTGGTGCTGCATTTGGGTTGGGGGTTGAGAGTAAACCAGACGTCGGCTACACATACTGGCTCTTTCCCAAGTCCAGTCTCGGTGGGAACTTGCCTATGGTGGGTGAAGCGCCGGAAGGGGTGTGAAGTCTGGGCATGTGGGAAATTGTGGAAGTGCATGTGTGTGGGCTGTGGAGGAGCCTAAGGGAGGATACGCTGTAGCTTCACGTTGTTGAAGAGCGGGCTCTCCTGAGCTTCCATCACCGTCATGCTGGACTGTTTGTGCAGGCGGCAGAAGGACAGGACCAGCGAGCACCAGGCAGCCAGCTGCTTCTGCCGAGTGTCCACGTTCGGCTGTAACCTGCCGGGTGAAGGGGGTGGGGCGCATAATTAAAGCGCGTGAGACGGCGAGAAGAGCACTTGCCGGAGGCGCGTTTGGGGGACAAAGTGAGAGACTGAGGGTGGGGGCTACCGGGTCCGTTCTCCCCCTCCCCACCTGAAGCATCAGGGCTGAGACCGAGGACCCCGAGAGGGGAAGGAAGGCACAGCGGGGCTTTTCGGGGGTCTAAGCCTCACGTAAAGAAGGGCGGGAAGCGATACTGCCACGGCCACTCGAAATTCATCGCCATCGTAGTAGCCCAGGAAACCCGGAACCTCCCAGCGAAGGACTTCCGGGCTCCGCTTCCGCACGTCCGAGCAGAAAGCATAGCAGAAACGTTCCGTTACAGGTCTCCAGAGCTGGGAGGCCCAACCGGAGGCCATGTTCCCTATCAGATAGTCCCTTGCCATTATGCCAAAGCTCCTTACCGTTTAGAGCAGAAAGGACCCTGAGAAGTCTTCAGATTCAACCCCAGAGAAAGGCAGTGATTTCCTCAAAGCAACACACTTTGCAGTAGAACAGAAAGTAGAACCCAGGTCTCCAAACCCCAGCGTAGGCTTGTTTCTTCTGTTAGGCTTCTTTTAATATTAACAGTTGTGTCAATTACCATTTAATTTAAACGTGCCACAATTCCCCTATCTCCTCAATTCCTATGTCCTTTGACCCCACCATTCCTCAGTGTAAGTCCGGGGAAAGGAAATCCAGGGGCAAAATACCTTTAAAAACCAAAATCAAAGGGTGAAATAAAGTTTAAAACTCATTTATTGTTTACAAACTGCAGTCCAGGGCCGTCTCTCTCCTGCTCAGCCAGAAGCAAGCAAGGAAGCACCTCCCCTTAACCTCCCAGGTTCAGAGAAGCCCTCGGTTGCCCAGGATAGAGATGAACTTCTCTCCAGCACCCCTGAGGATATGCAAATGAATTAAAGCCAGGCGAGATATTCTGGAAATCTTACAATTTTACCCACACTCAGTTTCCTGCAGCACCCATGGGAGCACATTTTGTAGCTTTTATAGCTTCCATGATTCAAACCCGCCATCTTTGCCCACAGTCATCTCTTACCTCTTCCAGGTCCTGACCTTCCTAGCCTCAAGTCCCCAGGTCTTCTCTGCCTCCTTATCCAGTCTACACTAGTCAGTTCTGCTCTTTGCCTGTGTATGTGCTGGTCAGCTCCCTTCTCCCACCCTGTTTTTTTTTTTTTCAGTCCTGGTGAGTGGGGGAGGGGATATTACTGGAAAAAACATCACAGAACATGTTGGCTAAGCTTTAGATATCCTGACTAACCCTTACTGCTGGACTCTCAGTGCACCCCGCACTGTCTTTTACTGACTCTGTGTCACCTCTCTCAGGATAAATCTTCCAACTTTTCCACTCATCAAGCCATTCCACCTGTCCCCATCTCCCTCCTCTCTGCAGAATGCTCTTCCTTTCTATTTTATGAGACTGAGGCAATGCATGTGAACCTCTTAATCTTTTCCTCTTTGTCTGTCATACTTGATTCATGCCTCAAAACTTCCTCTCCATTTTTCACTCCTTCCTTTTGGACTCAAAGGAAGAAGCATCACTATTCCTTTACAAGGCCAACCATTTCAAGTATCTTTGTGCCTCTCCTTTCCAACTTCCTTCAGGTCTTACCATGTTCCTTTTTTCCCTTTCCCTGGCTTCTCTCCCCTAGTTCACAAACATGCTCAAGCCATCCCTACTTGAAAATATGTACTGTTTCCTTGACTGTGCCTCCCTCTCAACGTAGCTGATCTCTAACCTTCCTCCACCAAGTCCACCCTTCATTGTGCACAGTTCTGAGTCCACAGAACTACCCAATAAATATTTTTGATTGAGTGGATATGTCCTTTCAAAGGGCAGCACCTCATTTGCTTCCATGGCAGTGCTCCATTCTTGTTCTGCTACTGTCTCTCTGATTTTTCCCTTTGTCTCCCCTCCCCCTTTTTCTTTAAATACGGGTGTTCCTAACCTCAGCTTTCTTTTCGGTACACTTTCATTCTTAGAGCTCTCATCCCTTTCACGGCTTCACAAGGCATTTCTGTGCAGAAGACTCCTAAACCTGTATTTCCAGCTCCAACATCTTTCCACCACCACTCCCATTTCTAATTCTGTGGAACATAACAGCTTGTTCCATGTTACCTCACATTCTACATCCTTTTTTTTCATGCTACCTCCTCCTCCTAATGGCCATTTTCTACTGTTACTTCCATCGTCCTAGTAACTCAAGTTCAAAGCCTGAGTCAGTCCTAACCTCTCCTCTCCTTCCTTTTCTTCATATCTAAAGTCCTACTTGTTCCCTCCCCTGTTTTTAATCATCTCTCCTACTTAATTATTTTCTATTTCCCCATTCACCACTCCTTTGGTCCATGTTCTCATTTTCTCAGGTCAGGATTATCGCAATAATTTCCTAACTCACCTCCCTTTCTATTCTCCTCTAGGCGAACCCACTCTATCTAAGGCCTAGTCATGTGTCAACTCCACAATCACCATCCTCTGACCTTATTTCCTGTGATCACACCTCAGCTAGATGTGACCCCTTCTTCCTTTAACTCAGATAACGTTTGTTTTGTACCCTTTCATGATTCTCACCACACTGCATTGTTTTTGTTTATTTGTGTACATCAGCTCCCCTAATAGATGGAAGCCATTGAGATAAGAAACCAAGCTTTATTTAACTTATCTTTCCAACACAATATACCATATACAGTGTCTTATACCAGCATGATGTTGCTGTATATTAGCAAAATGCATGAAGGCAAATACGGGCCAAGAAGAAGATAGATAAATCCTTGGGGAAGAGAGATGTATTCATGGAAACAGAAAAAAGATTTATCTCAGGTGAAAAATCAAAATATCCTACAGGTATGTACTTAGATAGATGTGTGTCCTGAGAGACAGGAATAGTTTGTCTCAGACAATGAATAAACATGTTCCAGGAAGCAAATAGGTATACATCTAGGGAATAGATAGATACATCCCAGGAAATGGATATGCATTTATGCAGGGAGGAAGATTTTTCAACAAGGACGGGAGGAAAACCTCTGAACAAGCTTCAGGTGCCACAGGGAATAAACAGGTTTCTTTATGGAGAACAAAGTTCTTCTCTAGTATTTTAGTATATAGTTCTTCTCTGTATGAGGACCTGGCAGGATTTTGCCAGGGAGAACTGAAGATGAAGTTCTCCTGGTAAGAACTGCGCCTCACTGTCCAGGGAACACACAGGAGTGTCCATATACAATAATGGTGAGTTGCAGAGGCTCAGTGTGTCCCTAGAAAGTGGCAAGGTGTCTTTAGGGAGTATCGGTATGACTCAGAAAGCTAACAGAAGTCCAGCTAAGAACTAGTGCTTGCTATGGAAATGACAGTTATTTGATCCCAGGTCCAGTCTCCTCAGCTTTGAGCTTTTTCCAGATTATGTACATCTTCTGGTTGTTGGCTTTAGTGGACACCAGAGGGCAGTGTGCTGTCAGACTGTAAGCCACACCCCCAGGGTCCAGGACAATGTAGGACACGGGCCAGGGACATGGAAGGGGGAGTCCTGTGGTGAACCTAGTAGAGGAAGTCCTTGCAGCTTTTGCCCTCAGTCCTGAAGTTCTTAGGGATGGACTCCTATTGGTCAGATCATGGTTCCTATTCTCAGGCCCTGGGAGTAAACTGAGGCATGAAAAAGGGGAAAATTCAGGGCTCCTGGGTGGTCCCTCTTCCTTCTTGTGGGAGTCACAACAGAGATTTCTCCCTTACCCCTCCCCCCTCACCTCCCCAGCTGTTGTCCAGACCGGAAGGGAGTCTCTTCCTGCTTGTTTCCTAGAGTTAGCTGGGTTTGGATAGTGGCAGGAAAGGCCCTGCCTTGGGAGGAAGGAGTGTAGGGGTGTGGCCTTCAGGTTGGAGGTGGGGGGTTAGTGGGGTTCACTTACCTAAGTGTACAAAACAGTGAGGCTATCCAGATTCTTTCAGCTCTGCTGTCCAGAGCTGAGGGTCTGTGGGAATGGCAGAGACTCTGGGAAGGACACAGGCCCCATTGTGACGGGGGAGATGGTACCAAAAATAATTTTATTTGGAATATTCCAGACTTGTGCCATGGCCCCACCGGGCTTCCATTTCCATCAGTCCAAGGTTCTGTGGTAGGCAAGTGAGAAGAGGAGATAGGACCGGGAGGAGAGAGACCTGGTGGTGGAGGAGGAAAGGAGTAAAAGGCTGCCAAGAAAAGCTCATGCCACCCTAGGCCTGGGCTTCATTGTCTTTACTCCTCCACACCACAAGGGTGACAAGGAAGGGGATGAGGCAGATAGGGGCTATGATCATGGCCAAGAGCACATCCTCTGGGGGGTCTGAGAAGGTGGGTTGCACCAGGGAGCAGTTGGCAAAGTGGATCTGGTGAGTCTCAAAGATGATCTGTTCCGCCCAGGGATTGGGGAATCCCAGATCAAACATTTCTGCATTCTGCTCCAAGCAATACTGAAGGTTGCTATAAGGCCTGGGGGCAGGAGAGGACTAGAGTGAGGGAGGCGTTGGGCCCAGAGAGAGTGTGCCCCACACTCACTCAAGGTCCACCCACAAGGAGCAGGCCCCACCTCTGGCCCCACCACCCTCCAGCACGGCCCCTACCTGCTAATCATGGCCCAGTCGCACCAATCCTTTTTGATAGAGTCCATTTTAATCTTATATTCTTCCCAGCAAAAATTGACATTTGCCTCATAGATCTCCTCCACTGTTTTCCCTGTGGGCACAGACGCTGCGCATTGACCACACCCGACCCCTCTCCAAGCCCTTTGGCCCCCGTACGAACACTGTTCCTGTCTTCAAACATGGTAGCTGCCAGGAGAGCCTCAGAAAGTTTCCCAAGCAAAATACTCCTGACTGAAGAGAGTTCTACTAAGAAAAATTTTAATGCCTTCCATGTGCACAGCACTTCCCAGCCTGACATGAGCTTCCACATACACTTTTTCTGGGATCTTGTAAACCACCTGTGGGGTAGTCCAGCTCAAACAGGGCTGGGTGGGGGCTTTGTGGGATGAGAGGAAGAAAGACCACAAAAAGTCCCAAAGGAGAACAGAGAGGAGATCAGCAGGATGTCAGTAGTGAGAAACGGACCCTTCTCTACAGCCCTGGCTCTCCTCCTTGCCCTAGTACCCTTCCACAGCCTCTGGGTACTCACCTTCTGACTCCATGCTACCTGGGGTGGGAAGAAGCTGAGCCAGGGACTCCTGGGACTTCAGGACAGCTGTGGGCAGAAATGGGAGAGGCAGGTGGGATAGCAGGCGTCCAAGCAGTGAAGTCTGGAGGGGTTGTGTGGGTGGGAGCTGAGACCCGTGGAAATCAGGGCTACTTTTAGAAGAGGAAGAGGAATAATCCAGGCCCCACAGAATGCCCCAGTGCCCAGAAAAGAGAAGCGAAGAAGACAGATATATCCTTGGGGAAGATAGATGTATTCATGGAAAGAGAACAAAGATTCTGCTAAATTTAAGCAACGTCCCACTCACATCCGGACCCCCAAATCCCGTGCCTCCTCGCCGGCCCCAGACCCCTCCAGACCTCTCCGCGGGGCCCCAGCACCCCAGTTTTTCCCAAGTGGGAAGCAGCCCGCGCTGTGCCCTCACCGAGACGGGGCCAGGGACTGTCCGGAGGAGAGCACAGTCCGCCCCCGCACCCGGGGGCCCGTTCGGGCCTCGCCGTCCAGCCCCTCTAGCCTCCAGAGCCTCCCGCGACTCCCGCCCGGGACCCGGCGCTGCGCTCACCGCCCAGCAGGAGGAGGAGGCGGAGCGCCGCTGGTCGCCCCGCGCGGATTGCAGGGAGCCACGGGCTGCCGCCGGCGCGCTCTGCCCGGAGCGAGGCCATCGCGCGGCCAGCAGGCGGGGAGGGGCGGCGGCGCTGAGCCGGCCCGGGCGGGGGCGCCTATATCCCCAGCCCCAGCCGCAGGAAGCGGCGCCGTTTCCTCGCAGGGGCTGGGACGGCTGGGGCCACGTGGGGGGCGGGGGCGACGCCCGGGGCTGGCGCACTGGAGGGGGAGTCGCTGCCCCACCCGGCCCTGGCGCCCGCCGCTGCCTCCGCCTGGTCGGCGTTGGCGTACCCTTACTTCTAGCTCACCCTGCGGGGCTGGACAGCTCCCCTCGTAACCCCAGCACGGGGTTCCATTTCCTGGGCTCGGCCGCGTGGCGCCCAGGACTCGCCCGGGTCTCCAAGCATCCGCTCCCTGGTTTCTAGTCGCCCTTTCTCTTTTGCGGCGGGGTAGTGGGGAAGGGGTGGATAGGAGCTGCTCTCGGGGACCTGGAGAAGAGGGAGGGTCTGGGAGCGCAGAGGGCCTCTCTACGCCGCAGGATCTAAGGGGTTTGGCGCTGTCCTGGGCCGTGGGGGACGGGGCGCCAGGAGCTGGGCTCAGAGTTCCCTTTCCCAGGGAACACCCATTGATGTCAGCCGCTGGCCAAAACGGGGAGGAGAGGGAACTGGCCCTCCGGAGTCGGAGGAAAGCCTGGGATTAAGGGTAGAGGGGAAATCAAAGTCTAAGTACCTTTCCTTTGAGGCACGTCCTAGAGCCTAGACCCACAAACCCTGTTGAGAGGAGGGGCAAAAGTAAGACTATGCAGTTCCCAGGAAGAAGGTGGCCACAACTCTTCAGGACCGACGTCGTGAGAAGGGATGGGTTTTTAGAACCTACAATGTGTGCATTCATGAGGTGTGTACTTTATTATCCCGTTTTTACAGAGCAAGAAGTTGAAACTCTGGAGAAGGAGCTCAGAACTTCAGTTCATAAACTCTGAGTTCTGTTTCTATCTTCCCACTATATATATAGTGTGGAATGACTTCATTTACCTTCATGAATTCTGTTTCCTCCCATGTGAAATAAGGACATTACTCTCCTCGTTAAACTGTAGTGAGGATGACATACGTTAAAGGACATTGCCGTCACTCAGCAGATGCTAGTCTCCTTTTCTCCTTTCCTAAGGACTAGTCTAAGGTCACACTGCTGGGAAACAGCAAGGCTGAGCCTGGGGCCACAGGGGCCATGACTTCTGCCACACCACAGCTGTCTCTGAGTCCTGAGCCGGACTTCATTAGCCTGAAGCAGATAAGCAGCCCAGGAGCTGGTTTGGCCGTGACATTCAACTCCAGATACAGCTGTCAGCACTGAACTTCCCTTCCTAAATTATTCCCAGACACTGACCCTAGGACTCAGCTGCTGTCCCAGTTTATTGATTTCTGCCCCACAAATTATCTTCCATGATCTCTCTTAAAATCATCATCTCCGGGGCTTAGACTCTTGAATCATGGCCACTAATAACCTTGTCCTCCTCCATAGCTAGGGTCAAGAGGTTGCATTAGCAAAGCATCCAGACGGAGAAATCATCCCTGCCCACTTGGCATGAGTCCCCAAACCCTTCTGGTGAGAGTCACCTTTTGCAGAAAAGAGCCAGGCAGCCTCAGAGCTACTTCAGTCCAGGGACCAAATCCAAACCTTCCCTCCCACCAGTGATTGCCCTTCAAAAAGGAAACAGGGTCAAGAGACATATCTGGGTGTAAGATTGGAGGAGGAAGAGAGTGGCAGAAAGCAAAATGAACCATTTCCACTGGGCTGAGGCCAGAAGCACCTGAATCCACTGTGAGTCAGGACTGGGGATGGGGTCAAGATTACAGGTGACAAAAGAGAATGTTTGACTTTAAATAGGTCAGTATGGTATCATTGATAAAAACAAAAATTGTTTAGGATTCTGAAGGCAGATCCTGCCTCTGACTTGCTGTGTGACCTTGGGCAGATCATTTCATATCTCTGGAGCTCAACAGTTTCATCTATAAAATGACCTTAGAATCAAAGGGAAAATATAGATGACCTGGGAAAAGTGTTATTTTTAGCCTAGAAGTAGGGTTAAGTTTGCATCCTGATGTGGAGACCTCCAAAGGAGAGCTTGTAGTCATTCCTAAACTTGGGAGTCCAAATCTTCCCTTGGAGAATCTGGGAATTTTCTCTCCCCCTCATTTTCCTTTTCCCACTTTTCCTTACCAGTTGAATGTTTGGCTAGTTCATTGACCCCCTAGAGTTATCCTGGTAACTGGAAATCAGCAATGGTTGTCCTTTGGGGCTGAACGAGGTCTAAAGACCTCACTTTACTCTTCCAAGTTGCCAGAGAAAATAGTCCCTTGTTCTGTAGCAAGAGGATAGAGAAGGTCTTCATTAGGGACACAGAGCCTGGTTCTTTCATGGGAAGTTCCATTTTCTACCCATGGGGGCCCTTACCTTCCCTTTCTAAACCTACTTCTGCCTTAAAATATATAATTTTTTTCTATAAAAATTTTTAATTCTAAATATATACTCATTGCAAAATTTTAAGCACAGAAAGCTTTATGCCCCATTTCCTTTCTCACTCACCACCCTACTTATTTGGACTAAAAAAAAAGCATAAATGGGATTTAATACCCCTGCTGTTTAGTGACTTAATAGTATGTCTCAGGTAGCTTTCCCTAATACCATATATAGATACGGCTCTTTCCTTTTAACTGTAGTATAGTATTGTCTTTCATCTTTTTTTTTCTTCTATCCAGTGGAGTCTGGTTTTTAAGTTCCCTACACACTCCCTTACTCTACTCCAACCCCTAGTCCTTGGGGAGAGTGGAACATGGTTTGGGTCCAGGTGAACTTTCTGGCCCCAACCTAGATTGACTTCAAATCCAGAACAACATAGGGGGAAATAAGAAGCACTGAAGGCCTCCTACGTGGTGAAATTACGTGCAGAGCATCCTAGAATTAGAATCCATGCAGTGTGGAGACAGTCACACATGCTGGCCTTGTCCCCAGCTGTCTGTAAAATAAAAAGCACAGCACAGGGGAAGACATGGGAGAGAGTCAGGGTCAGAAAAACAAGTCCTGCCTTGGGGGTGCTGATCCTTCCAAGCTGGTGAGAGGAGACAGACTTCTTTAGAGGGCAAGGAGGCAGCAGGGAGAACCAGAAGCGCCACATCCAGAGAGCCAGCTAAGGGAGGCAAGACAAAGGGGTAGGAACATAACTACTCCATCTCTTGCCAGTCTCCTCATCTCCAGAATGACGGCGTATTTAGTATGAGGAGCATGACCGCCTCTCAGAAGGAAGAATGGTTGTTAGAGAAAACTTTGACTCTCAATTTGATAAAAAACACCACCGCCACCAACAGAGAAACTGGTCAAGTCATATCCCTCATCAACTTAATAGTAGCTACCATTTATTGAAACAATATATAGTGTGTTTTCTGACATGTGTGCTGAGTGCTTTGCAAGTGTTTCTTAAAACCTTTCCACCTTACCATCAGAATTATCTTGTCCATGGGTGAAATGGGGAAGCATGAGTGATTTGCCAAAGGTACTAGAGTTAATTGGCAGAGTCCAGTTTTGAACCCAGAACTGCTTGATGCTAAGCTTCGTTTCTTAACCATTATGATTTGTTACTTCCATCTCACTCTAAATCAGAATATTAATTCCCTACTGGGTCTGGAAAGGAGGGGAGAAGAATAGAGTTTCTTCTAGGACTAGAATGACCCCTCCAGAAATAAGATCCTGCTTCACCCAACTATGTGCACACAGTGTCTCCCCACTTCCCTGACCCAGGCTGGACCATGACATCACATAGTAGAGGCTGTTTTTCTAAAAAGAACCTAGGCCAGCTTTACAAGAACAACGTTCAGGCAGCATGACTGAAGAGGACCGTGGCCAAGTGACCACAGCACACAGCCAGCAGTGCTGAGAACACTGCTGGTCCCTCGGCACCTGGGGCTGACTCACGATTGCTGTCAGGACCCAATGCCAGATGCCAGGATTGCTTCCACCCTTCCACCATTCATGAGGACTGTCCTTTGAAACCACCCCAGAGCCCTTCTGTCCCCTCCCAGGGTCCCCGGAGACTGGATGTTGTGTAACAGAGAATGCCCTGAGGGTGCTAGGCAATATGCTCAGCACTTCATACAAACTGTTTCATTTAAAACTCACAAAACCCTATTAAATTAGGTACCATAGTAACCCACTTTACAGATGAGGAAGCTGAGGATGAGAAATGTTCAGTAAATTGTCCAAGATCATGTAACTAATACAGATACTCAGGTATTCCTGATGCTGAAGCTGAGCACTTAACCTCTGCTCCACAATACCTGATGGTAGTCAGCCAGCTAGACAGATTGAAATAGGAAAGGGCAACCAAACAGGGCTCCTCTTAGCAAAGGGGCCTTCCCCAGTCAGGACGATCCCTCCCTTGACTATGCTTGCTTCATCTAGAGACAGGTTCTTTTCACATCGTTTCCCCAAGACCTTAATGCAGTAGATGGACAATGAAAAAAACACCATAATGTTATGAAATAAATCATTTTCTAGGTCATAACAAGATCCAACATATGTTAAGCAAATGTGATACTCGTGTGTTTAACCTGTGTGGTATCTGTAATGTGGGCTTAAGTAATACCAGAAAAACTAATTTTTCCTCACCTGTAAAATGGAGATAATAATATCTGCAAGTTATAAGATTTAAAGCATTGAGAGCAGTACTTGGCTCATAGTCAATGTCTATTATTATTACTATTTCTGTCAGCTTAGTGGTTAAGAGCACACACTTTGAAGTTAAGCAGACTTGAGTTTGAATCCCAGCTCCCATCGCTTACTTAACTGTATGTGACCCTTTGCAATTACTTAGCTCTTCTGAGCTTGTTTTCTTATCTGCAAAATGAGGTTACTTGCATGTATCTCACTTAGTAGAGATAATACATGTAAAGCATTTGGTCCAATGCACAGCACTAGTAAAAGAGTGATAAATGGTAGTTACTATCATAATGTGTAACACATAGAGTTATGACAACTATATTTCCAAGATATTCTGAGATCCTTTCCAGTTCTATAATTTTGTTCTTTTCATTACATAATACTCCTACTTAACAGAATACAGACTTTGG